AATATTTTCTGTTTATTGGGTTTTGAGGATCTTGATTGTGAAGGTTTGTTTGTGGGGTAATTGGTTGTTGAGGTGGTAGCATCGCATACTATGCTTTTGATTTTGGATTGTTTTTTGTTTTGATGGGAGTGCCCATCTTTCCTCACTCTCACCTCTTTCTTAATAAATCTGTGTCCTGAAAGTTGTTTTGATGAGAGAGCTATTAGAAGAAAAACTTTTGATTTTGCATTTTATCGAAATATAATTTGAAACTTTTGAAATCTTAATGCAAAAAGTTGAAAACAAGTTTTTGTAATGCAAGCATCCAAAATTTTGTGGTAATCGAGCCATTCTTTTAGGTTAATTCTAGACGCTTTATGGTATAGTGTTTATTTTGATATTGAAATATTTTTTAATTTACTAATATCCTTTATAATGGTGGATGACAAATTCAAATGTATAACTTTGTCCTAAATATTGGTTGTAATTCCTTGTTGGTTACACTAAAGGGTAATTTGAGTGATAAAAGGTGTACCTAATATAACGTCTGATCTAAATCTTGCTAAAATAAAAGTATTTTTAATGCAAAAATTTGTATACATACATGAGCATTAGATAATTTATAATTAATGTTTAATTGTTGACCATTCTCCATATAATCTTTCTTTTGTCTTTTCATAATATTTTGTTGGAATAATCCTTCTCTTATACAGTTTTGATCTGCTCCAGTGTCTACTAGGGCTTGTGTAATAATCTAATTCTTGATTAATATTATCCTAATGTAACTTGTCATTTTTGAAATTGAATTATAGAAATTTCATTAATAAATGCTTCTTCGGTTTCTTTAATTCTACTTTTGAGTGATGGTTTTCTGTAGTTTCTTTTGAGCTTTAACATAAAAAAATCTATTTTGATTTCAATATATCATTTTGTAATTCTTTAACTGATTTTTCATAATATTGATTTCTTCTTGTAAATCACTTAAGTAACTGTGGTGTTTGTCGAATCTTTTTAATATTTCTTTAGTTATAAGATCTACATCTTTTTGTTTTCTTCCGATAAATTATTCTTTGAGTTTTAATAAATATTCTCTTTAATGTCTTCATCCTGAATTTTGTCATAATATCTAATAAAAATTCTTTTGATTTGGTGATAACGTTATTGACTTAGTCTAGATGTTGATATCATATTTATTGATTTCATTTTTCACTATTATGGTAATTTTGTAAAGACCGGCTCTTATATCTAAGGGTTTCCTTCTAAGGAATTATTGAAGCTTTTGTCAAAGTTATTGTCAGAATGTTTTGACTTAGGCTTATTAATTGAGGGGTAAATGTTTTGAGGTGGTGTATTACAAAGGGTACTTTTGGTGTTAGATTATGTGTGGATCTAATGTTAATTTTTACTTTGTTTTTTAGTGAGACATTTAAAAGCATCGTGTCCTACTTGTTTACATTTCCAACATTTTTTATTCTTTTATTTTATTATCATAATAAGAAAGTTTCTTTTCCTATACCTTTGTCTTTGATTGGGTTGATTTTGAAAGGACTTAATGTTTGATTTAGAGGATGATAATTCGCTAAGTTTTTTACTAATATTTCTAAAATAGTATTGTGATATTGAATTTAATAATTTCCTCTTTGGAATGTCAAAGGGTTCAAAAATGGTTTAACATATTTTTGTGAATAGAGGGGTGTTGAAGTTGATGTTAAAGTTGATGTTGAATTTCCTAAAGTTGGTGAATTTTTTGATGTTCTATTCTCCTTCCCGGGGCTTTTGAAATTTTTGTAATTATGTGGGTATTATATCTTCTATTCTTCATTTCTTGACTAATTGTGTGAGAATTTGATTAGAGTAATTGTTTTGATGTTGAATATTTTTAATGTCTCTTAAAGTTGGTTGCTTTTGATCATCATCAATTCTATTAATTTTCTTAAATGGTGACGCTATTATTTCTGCTTGTTGATGTTCTATTAATTTCTCTAAAGGTGTGGACAGATTTAATGTTTTATTTGTTGTTGTTTGCCAATTTTTTGTCGCATTAGTGGTAACAAAAATAGTTTTCTTTTTACTTAATCTTGATAACATTTTCTATTTTCTAACCAATTAAAGAAATAAATATTTTGTTTTAATTTTTCTTGTGTATTGTACCATTCAATCTAAGGGTATTTTGTTCTTTTGACTAAATTTTGTAAAGAATACTTGTCGTTTTTCTTTATATAATCTTGTAAGAATTCTTGTTTTAATACTTATTAATTTCAAAAGGTTTTGTTATTGTGTTGATTTGACTATATTTCCTAATACTTCTGATTGTGTTGGTGAACTAGGTGAACTTGATGTGTTTCGTATCCAGGTTTTGGTATAGGAGGGGAATAATTTACTCTACTAATTTACTGGTTGAAGTTGTTGCACGAAGGCGAGGTTTGTACTTTCTTCAATCCTAGGGTTGTGATGATTTTTGTTAGTAACTATGAGTTGATTTTGTTCTAAGGATGTTTTTCTAAATTTTAATTTTATTGTACCGTCTGGTTCTTGTATTAAGTAATCATACTATAAATCTTTAATGTAATATTATAATTAATTAAATTTTTAATCATTTAATTAAGTATTATACTAATGTTTATAATGAAATGTTATAATTAATTAAGTAATTATACTATAAATCTATAATGTAATACTATAATTAATTAAATTTCTAATTATTTAATTAAATAATATACTAAATGTTATAAGTCAATTAATTAAGTAGTAATCAATTAATGTAATGCTATAATTAATTATACTATAAATCAATTAAGTAATGTTATTAATTAAGTAATCATTTAACTATAATGTAATGTTATAATTGATTAAGTATGATATTTAACTAGAAATTAAATTTAGTAATGTTTATCAATTTATCATATATAATTAATTAATTGCTAATTTATTATAGATATACTTAGAACTTTATAATTGAAGTAAATAACTAAATATATTATTATTCAATAAAATATACTATTTTATTCAAAAATAATTCTTTTAATTGGATCCTAATTCCAATTATACACTTAATTAATCAAAATTTTAATATTAATATATTATAATATATTAAAGTTTTTAATATGGTATAGTTTATATGTAATAAGTATAATTGTATATTTATTTAATTAGGTTATTCTAAAAATTTAATTTTTTCTATTTTAAATTTTTTATATGTAAAATAATGAAACCCCCCATTATTCACAAATATTTCATTGCAACCCAGGTTCCAAAATAGGTTCCAAACAGGTTTTAAACTGGATACTCGCTACAGGTTCTAAGTAGGTTTCAAATCGGGTACCTGTTTTAGGTTCTTTTTTTAGGTTCTAGTTCCTCCACTCATAAGAACCGGAACCACACAGTGTCAGTTCCAATAAAATAGAATCAGAACCTACCCGCACACAGTGGCGGATCTAGGGATTTCATCGAGGGGGGCCCTCCGCGGCTTGACCATTATTTTCCAAATAATTAGTGAAAACTTTAAAAAATCACCAAACTTTAATAAAAAAAAATATAATATTAAGAACTTGGGAAAAAATAATATATATTAACACAATATTTTCTTACTTAAATAAATTTATGAGAAGCAAAATTTTGAGTAAAAGTGTTGAGTAAACCTTGAACAAAACCTTCTTTTAATATTTTTATTTTTGGCTTTCAAATATAATAATATAAATTTTCATAGCGTAGGTCAAACCTAGCCTAATTAAGCTAAAGTCAACTAAAACTTAAAAAAAGTCAACGTTACGTTGACTTTTAATATGAATTAATAAAAGAGAAGAAATTTTTTTAGTATAAACATAGATAGTAACTCAAATTTCTTTAATAATTTTGAACAACTGAATGGTGACGTTTAAAATATAGGAAAGTGGTGTGTAAAGGATGAAGAATAACGTCCTTTAAAATATAGTTAAGGTTTTAATTTGAGAAAGCAGGTTCATTCTTAGACAAAAAATACAAAATAAACTTACAAGATTAATATCTTTTTCTCTCAAATTAGAATAAAAAACCTCAAAAAGAAAAAAAATGATTCAATCTTTAAATAAACTAAATTGAAATGAACAATACACATATCTAAAATCTATAAAACAGAAAACGGAGCTAATTATGACACCTTGAGTAGTGAAAATTTAACAATTTCAGTCTTCAAAAATTTTAAGAGAGAATAACATGAAAAAGAGAAAGAGAGAGTAAAGAATTTGTGGATAAAATCATAAAAAAACTTGTAAAGCTGTGTAGAAAAACACTGGAGAGAGTTTTAAACTTTTAATATGATGTGGACTTGGAATATATATATATATATATATGACAAGTTTTTTTGTAGACCTAGATATACAGTATGTATAATAATTCTTATTTTTTAAAAATTTGAAGGTGCATCTGGGTACATATGTTAATTAACAATTTTTTATGGCCTGTATATTAATAATTTTTTTTTTTTTTCAAATATGAGGGTAGGCCTCAAAGGGGTTGAATCCACCCCTGCCTGCACAGTGTCCGTTCTGGGTAGGTTCTGATTCCGGTTCTACCCGCAGGTTCCAATTCTATTCGTTATCCGTGCTCACCCCTAAGTCTTGTCTATAATTAGTATTATTTTCATATGTAGAGTAATGCTCATAGACAATGAGATTTCGAAAGATAGACTCGGTTTCTGAGATTTTCGTTGCTTCATTTTCAAACTTTATAGCAAACAAGTTATCTTTCCTACTGCTCTAATGATATGACTTTCGTAATCACCCATACTAATATCATCACATGATAGTCAATGGATGCGCTCAGCATGCTTACTATACAATGATGTTGCCCAGTTAACATTACTTATGTAATGAGTACTTTGATGATTTGATCTTCTAAAGATCCGTATCATCCAAACATTTTACATGCATTATAAATAATATAAATGAAGCAGTAAACAATATGTGAAATCAAAACTCTTTCTTTAATAAATAAAATACTTACAAGATTAAATGTTCTAGAACCGACAACACGATTGATTCTTAAAGCAGACACTAACATTACCGTTGCTTAGAGGACCTCAATATTTGGAGAACTCGCCATTTATTTATAGTAGAATAATGCTATATGCACTAACCAAAAACCATACAACCTAAGTACTAACTAACGTGACAGACTTATTTTATTGGCACGTCAATTCCCCCCAAAAACTGGAAAAAAAAATTTAAAATTTCAATTGTTATTACTTGAATTATTACAATTTAGTTAGTACATATAGCATTACTCTTTATAGTGATAAGTGAGAACAGAATACACAGTTTGAGTCAAGGTAAACAGAAGCAACAAAACAGCAGCAAAGAAGGAAATGAAAGCCCATGGACTGTAAAAATACCTGTGCTTTAAGTGTGCTATCCATTTGTGACGCTTTTGGCCACAATGCTCGTTCACCTTGATGAATATATCGAAGAAATAATTGTCAGGGGAAAGCGTGACAAAATCACCAATACTATTGAACATGTTGGCAACTGTTTTATCATCACCCAAACAATTATGGAGAATATTGCACCGACAAAGTAATTCCACATCATTTTGAGAGTCGATGAGACAGTCCATGAATTTCATATAATCACTGATGACATGTCTACTATTAGTATTAATCTCATTTTCATTTGTAGAGTAATTCTCATAGACAATGAGATTTCGGAAGATAGACTCGGTTTCTCCTCTAATTTCTAATCGTGGGATTTCCATTACTCCATTTTTAAACTTAATAGCAAACAAGCTATCTTCCTTACCTTTTCTAAACTTGATTCCTGCCTCCTTAAGCTCTGTGGCGCAACGCATGAACTTCATATTTTTTGTATTGCGGTTGCTGTTGAACTTCCCATTGTTTTGAGATGGTGGAGGTTTGATCCGCCAAGTGCTACAATTTATGGACCCCGAATAATTGCCGCAACTTATGGACCCCCAACAAATTTCTTTTGCTCTATCATTCCCTCCACTAACTTTCCGAGGACAGCGTAGAAGCCATTTATCACGTATAAAGCTTAATAGATGCTTGTTTTCTGATGAATCTGTCCTGGCGATTTCAGTATAACTTTTCGAGAGCCGTGGATCGGGAAACACAGAATAAGAGAAGAAACACAAAATCATATCCTCGAGACTACTGTTCCCTTCTCTAGCAGTCATGCTAAACAACTTTTGAAGAACACAGAAGGGGAGTTGATTTTCAACTAATAACAAATCACGGCCCAATCTCTTGATGATCAAACCGGAAAATAAAGTGCCTCTTTTTCGGTTATCATTACTGCCTGTCCGTGGCCTCAGCTTTTCCATAAACCTGCGAAGTAGCTCAACGATAAAGCAACCATCAAGCAACATCATTGACAGAAATTCATCAGATGTTATACATTCAGCAACATCTGCATAATGATTACGAGCTTCTTTTTCCAGAGTCCTCAAGGCGTCGACATACTTTTTCACTTCTTCTTCCCGTTCACTGTTTCGTTCGAGAAAGTGTTTCATAAACCGCATTTTGTGGTCTTCCATCATCGAAAAGTCTTCCTTATCTCGGTGATAAGGGCCAATTGCAATTATGAATGGATCATAAGCACTCGGATTCACGGAGCGTAGATGGTCAGGTACTTTAAATATATTGCGACCAGTAGGTGTTGAAGTTAGATCTTTTAGCCGTTCAACAATATTGTCAATACGATTAGCCATCGCCCTCTCTTATCCTATTGCCGTTGGGAAGCCAACCAATCATAGGATTATATTAGAATTAGAATTATCATAAATAGCAAAGTTATTCAAATTAAGGTGGTTGAACTAAATGAAAATAAATTCAAAACATAAATAAAATATAAGTTAAATAAATAAATTAGTAAATTGGTGCCCTTTGTATAGAGGAGTGCCATTTGCTTAACTCATAAGTCTGGTATTTGTATTATAGTCAACGTAAGGGATTAAAGTGATCTTCAAAAATTTGAAGGGCGAAAATGTCCTAAAATGAAAAGTATCTCACAAAATAATTTATTCTTATTAAATATAACATTAATTAAGTGTACGGCAGAGATACGATATCCTTAAAATTGTAGGCCTCTTTTTATCCCTTATATTTTAAACTCTTTATAATTGTGCCTCCTCATACACTTAATTCTATTAGTTTTTTAGTTTTTTTAATTTCAAGGATTACTTATCTCAAAAATCTTGATTATATTTATATATTTTTATATATAAATTAATATTTATTTTGGAATTTTTAACTTTACAAATTTGAATTTGACAGAAAAATACAGTTAAATGTAATTAACTTACCCACTGCTATTATTCACTTTTCTCTTAATTAATTGATATCTTAATTGCAACTATAAAGAAATGAAGAATTCTAAAGGAATCGTAATAAGTGTTATCTCTTATATGAATTTTAGTTTTCACATCTTACATTATAAAATTTTGAGTATATTATTTCCTATAACATTGTTAATGAGCTTATTGTACTATATTTTTTAAATATTGATATTCTTGTGGTGCTGTAAAGAGTTCGCTTTTCTTACTATATTTTGAACTTTTCTTTAATTAAATTTAGCTCATTTCTCATACAGATTACCATCACAAAACTATTCAATGATCATAGGGTGACGCTAGGTAATAAATTGTGGCATAAGTGGCCAAATGTAAACTAAAAACTACAAACAAAATAAAATACCTGAAAAGAAACGCACTCAAGAAGGATACAAATTCTTCAGATCAGAGACGGAGATCTGCAGATCTAGGCAGATCTGCACCATCGAAGACTGACATAATGGTTCGATAGTCCTCCATCACCACAATTGCATGTGACCTCACGTTGCCCGTCTTTGATAGTCAGGATTTGCCTTGATCGATAGATCAGTTGTCTTTAATCATTCACACATTGACAGTGACGCCGCCAGTGTGATGGAAAGTGGCGGGTTTGTGACTTTGATCAACGTTGATTGGTTTGAAAATTTTTAAGTTTTTTGAATTTTGAAATTAAATATAAAATTTATATTTATTACAAAAATTAAATGAAAGACATTTTTGTATAAAAGCAGCAAATTATTTTCTATTCCATCCATATTCTTTAATATAAACAAAGAAAGTAATCTCATTTTACTTATTCATAATACTTTTATTCTATCAATTTCTAATCCACAAATCAAACATGCCCTAAGTTTATGACATAACTACAATTAAATATTTAACATATCGTGTGGAAAGTATCAGTCACTTACTTGAGTATAACTTCTTCTAGCTATCAAGATCTAGGAGCTTCCTTGGAAATCGATTTCTTCACTTTCTTAACTGGAAGAGATGCTGGAGAAATTATTGAAGATCCCTCATTTTATAAATACTGGAGGGCTATAATTACTGTAGGGCCCAAAGACGATGACCTATGTATCGTGACATCAGCTTATGATATTTGTTATTGATTTGACGCAAATTTCAATTATAGCCACATTTGCTCAAATCGGTTCATATCGACTCCATGCCTCGCGAATTTTCATTTCATTTTCACTTGCACAGAACACGAAAAGAAATTACACTCCATCAATTAATAAGTTTTGAAAATGACGTATACTAAGTTTTTGTCCACATGTATCAAGTCAACATAATCAATTATCAATCAAATTGGACATTTAAGATCGGAATCAATAATCTTATCTAAAAACCTGTTCGGTTCTAACCCACTTGATTCTAAAATCAGATCAAGCCTAAGAAAGAGAGTCCGATCCCTCTATTGGACCCTCTTTCAAGGCCTGGTCTCAGGTGTGGATTCAAATCCTTTTGATATTTTTAATCTTTCATATAATTATATAAAATTTATTTTAAATTTTAAAATAAATATAAATTATAAAAATTAAAATAAAATTTTATAAATTTAAAAATAAAAAATTATTTAATAATCGTTAGGTGCTGCCGAACGGTCATTTTTGTTGGGGGGAGGGCCGGGAGGGTTTTTTTTTTTTTTTCTTTCATTTCCCTCATTTTACTGGAAGAAAATGCTGGAGAAATTATGTGAAGATACCTCACATTATAATTACTGAAGGGCCAAAAGACGACGACACACATCATTTAATGATTAATGAATGATTCATGACATATGTATCATGACATCAGCTTATGATATTTGTTATTGATTTGACGCAACTTTCAATTATAGCCACATTTGCTCAAATCGGTACATATCTACTGCAGACCTCGTGAGTTTTCATTTCATTTTCACTTGCACAGAACACGAAAAGAAATTACACTCCAATTAATTGAAGAAAACACAAATAAGTTTTGAAAATGACATATACCAACTTTCTTCCACGTATATCAAGTTTGCATTTTGAAACCAGGTCCAAAAACTCTATCAATCCTAATAGATTTGGTCTCAAAATCAGACAAAGCCTAAGGAGGAGGGCCTAGAGGCCCAGGCCTAGGGCCCAGGCTTAAACCCTTTTAATTTTTTTTTTAATCCCTTATATAATTACATAAAATCCCTTATAAATTTTGAAATAAACATAAATTATCAATAGAGTTGGATATTTGGGATTGGGTCAAAAAACCTGACCAAAAAATCTGATCCTAACAGATCTGGTCCCAAAACCAGACCAAGCTTAAGGAGGAGGGCTCGATCCTTCCATTGAGCCCTCCCCCAAGGCCTAGGCTTGGGATCGGTCCTAAACCCTTTTGATTTTTTTTCTTTTTAGTCCATTATATAATTACATAAAATCTCCTATAAATTTTGAAATAAACATAAATTATAGGGGTTAAAAAATTTTTTACAAAAATTTTAAAAAGAAATTTGTTTAATAACTGTTGGTGGCTAGCAGGGTGTGAGCCGAGCTGCTCGTGACAAAGTAGGAAAGTAAAAAAGTAGAGAATTTGAGAGTTTTTCTCTCCAGCTCAATTAGGCTCGACATCAAACTCAAATTTTCAATGTAGAGTTCGAGTTTGAATTTTTAAACTCGTCAAGCTCAACTTCGAACTTGAGCTCGGCACTGTAGCAACTAATGAAGTTCAATTAGCCCAAAACTTGGTTCAACTCGTTTAAGCTTGCAGATTGGTCCCAAATCTTGATTCCAATCACATTCTCTAAAAATTAAAATAAACAAAAGGATTGGTCCCCAAATGTATCCTAAATGTTGAAAGAACTCTCCTAATAGTTGAGTTAATGTCTACTTTGATGATTAATTTGACTTCAAATTACATCGGATTTTTTTGTGTAGGGGTTTTAATTCTTCCAAAATCAGGCAGGACATTGCATTTCACTAATTTATGAAATTTTTATGCTTCCTTCTTTCCTTAATTTAATTAATTAATTAATTAATTATTAATTTTTTTTCGACCTAGACTAGAATTTTGTGCTAATCTTAAATTGGAGAGTGTCTAGTTGGGAGTTTATGATCAGAGTGGCTCAGAATGTACGATCAACTTCAGCTTAATCCACAGTCTTTCAAACTAATTATCCAAGGTAGTCTAAAGTTTTTAAAGAGTAACTGATGGGACTAACTCAAACTTAATAATGTACTAGTCGTGTTCAAGTAATAAAGTGATGAAGATCAAAACAATTGTTCGTAATTACTTAAAACTATTACACGTTATTTGAGACTAAATTTTAAATTGTAAAAATAACTAAATTAAACAATAAAACAACGTGAAGAACTTTGTAATATTAATAAAGTTAGGATACAAGTTTTCCTCTAATTATGCTCGACAACTATTCTTAATATCCGTTTATGCTATGAATTAGTAGGATCCTTCTAAAGTCAATTATTCTTATTCAGGCATAATATTCAATTTAATTAAGATCTTTATTGGTTACTTTGAAATTCATTTGGACATTCAAGAAAGAAACGTCCATAGCCATTTGGACATTCAAGATTCCTTATCCCAAGGTGGGACTCTTATATATTAAAATAATAATCAAACTTTTTGACTTTTTATACAATAAGATAGGGTGCGTTTAGTTCATTATTTTGAACAAAATTTTGTGAATAATATTGAATAATTGGATAGAAGAGTATTACGAGGTAAAATTTAAAAATTTATAAAAAAGTCCATAGGTTTGCTAATTTAATTAAACACCTTAATATATAAAATAACAAAAACACCCCCATCACCTGCAGTGCCAGATTCAGGCCACTATCGTCAGAATCTGACCGAAAAATTTTGTTATGACACAGACCGGTCGGATCTATGTCGTAACACGTCGCTATGGCCTTTTCCGGCTAGATCCACTATGGATCTGGCCAGAAAGGCCAAATCTACGGCCAAATGTTGTCGTCAACTGCCGGAAAAGGCCAAAGAAGTCCATCTTTGGCCGTCAACGATGGCCAAAGATATGGTCGTCGTTTTTGGTCAACGACGGTTAGATCTGCCCTTTTCCGGCCAGATCTGTGGTGGATCTGACCAGAAAAGGCCAGATCGGTAAACTACCAGTCAATTATGGTCGTGGTGTAGGCCGTTATATAGATTCTGGCCACCACTAACGGTGGTTGCCGAAACCCGGCAAGTATGGGTTGATGGGGGTGTTTTTATTAATTTTTAAACTTTTTTCTGGGGGTATTTATGAAAGTAATTAACTTAAAGGGTCTAAAAATAATTAAAAAATATAGTAATATTTCTGGAATAATGTTCTAAACAATATTTAGAGAATAGGATTGGGAATATGGGTAGAAATATTGAACCAAATTTTTTTTCTTTCTCGACACAAATAATGTCAAGAAAGTCAAAAAGTTTGTATTATTGTATAAAATATTGATATTAAAAATTTGAATAATCTTATTTGATTTGTTTATGTCTAATTCTATTTTATTATCTATATTTACTAGCATTATATTGAATGATAATAAATATGTTTGTTCATAGGATAAAACTTTTTATTCAACAAGTTATTAGAATACTGGGATTTAATTTTTGTGACTTTTTGTGAATCATTTATTATTGTTAATTTGACCGTGTTAAAAAAAATACTGAATTGACATTTAAATGTAACTACCTTTAACTTCTTTCTTATTACTATTAGATTAACAAATATGAAAAATTATTACTATTAGAGGACATTTGGATCATATAATATTTTTTTATAGAGGTATATTATATTAACAGAAAGAAAAATCATCTTGAAGATTACTGAGAATGTTTAGAAAATGTGTTTAGCTGGTTCAAATAAATTGGTGAATAATATGTTTAGTTGAGAGGATAAATGAGTGGATATGTTATATATATTACTAAATAGCCCTCCTTTTTAAATATTAATATACGGTAAGGCTATCAACACTATGATAGCCCTACCGTATTATTTGTGTTCTTGGTCAGAATAATATTGGGGCTACGGACGTTTCTAGAATGGCCACCATATGTGATCATAAGGTTCTCACTATCAAGATTTGAAACACTTGATACCCTCGTCACAATTCTACCATCCTAAGGACATATACTATTACATACACGATGTAGAAGAATATGCCTTTTATTGATAAATAAACATTTATTATAGAGTTAATTTTATAATAATTGATTGGCTTTAGTGCACCTATTCTAACATAATGAATTTATGCTTCTTAATTTCATAGTAACCAAATAAGGATCACAATAGCGACGGGGATACACAGTTATCCCAACAATGCAGGGGCCTACGAAACGAAGTTTTTCTTCTTTCGTTATGATGGCCACTGCCCTTTGTTGGATCTGAGTAGGTCCTCCTTCCTCGAATCCATGGATTCCGCTGTAGTTTTTATTACTAATGACCTGTTTGTTTTTGGCAGTTAATAAGATGACCGATTTGGGGCTGCTCTTCGACCCGGACAGAATCGTTTCCTTCGGTTTTCTGCCTGAGGAGAGTCTCGACGTGAAAAAGCTTGTGACGATTGCAAATCTTAGGAAGTACGGTTTCTTCAACGTCGATGCGACCTTAGAGTCCCCAACTCGTAAGTAATGCTGATTGATTTGTTTCGTTTAAATGAACTGTTTACTAGAGGTGTTCATGTGCAGCGACCATGCCTCTAAAGGCGCCAGGGTCGTCAAGACTGAAGCAGTTCGTCTTCCCTCGGATGAGGACGACCAAGACTGAAATTGCTCCCCGTGGTCCCCCGGCCGAGGGTGGTACGTTGGGAGCTCCGGCTGAACCTGCTGGGGCGTCCCAACCTCCAACAACCGCCCCGGTTTGACCTGAGGGTGCTTCTCGGCCATCGGCTGCCCGTCCGAGGACGAAGACCACGACTCAGCGACCTAAGAAAAAGAGAAAGCAAATCCAGGTCGAAGAGTCAGAATCTGAGTCTGAGGGTGATCAGACTGGGAGGTCGTAACCACATGTTGGGCAGAGGTCGGGTAAGGA